ATATCTATATATTGTCATTATTCGAATGTAAACCGTTCCTACGTCACCATGTACATAATTATACTGTGCATCAAGGAATGACGGGAGTCAAATTCAAATAGTGGGGCCAGATGCCTGTGGCTTTTTTATGTCTTAATAGACGATCTAAATGTTAAAGCATTATAATGGTGCATGATGGTAACGATAAAGCTTTACCAGGGCTACTTTCCTAGTGGGGATTTCGCCCTTTCAGATTTTGAATCTCTTGATATGCCCCAAAGTAGAGACATCAAATTATGTAATTTTGTAGTCAAGGAAGGTGTAATATAAATGATAATAATGATATGTCTTGCTATTTTACAGGTATGACAGGTATAATAAATGTGAAGCGTTCTGACAAAATGAGTTACTTCTCGGATTCCAGCCCTATGGGAATAGATAGATCACGCTTATAGGTGACGTTTTTATAATTTATGAAACTATAAAATTATAAAAACCATGTTAAACTTAAAATATGGCACCACTAAAAAAATCTACAAATTTGACCCATGGGTCGATTTTTGGTTATTATCTCCACTTGTGGACTGCGAGAAATAACTCATATTGTTAGCACGCCTCATATATATTTTTGTTTTCTGGTGAGGGAAGTTTGATTTGTGCCTGGCTATACCATCATAATTTATTATTAGTTATTCTGTTCATAGAGAAATGTGGGAGTCGAGTCAAATAGTCGGGCAAGTTTCCATACTAGTTTTGACCGTTGTGTAGACAGAAGCGATGACCGCCTGGGCCGGCCGCGTCACGGAACAACACAGAGTCTGGGTCAGGCGGGCCTCCAGATCAGGCCACAGGAGACCCGACAGGGCCACGGTTACGGCCAAGACAGAGATGACCAACGCGGTCGCCGCTGGAACAAAAACGATACGTTGTTAGTTATACATGTACTGTGTTACACCACAGAATGAAGCAGGTCAAATTTCTGGTTTCGTAAGAGTAGATGATTGTCATTTTCTATTTGACCAGTAATTAATTGAATTGCAGTTTATGAGAAGATCCATTATATTATATTTCCCAAGGAACAAGAAAGGGAGAGAAATAATAATAATAATAATAATAATGACATTAATAATTATTATTATTATTACTGTATTATCATTATTGCATTTATATAGAGCATATCTTTGCTCAAGAGCATGCTCTATGCGCGTTACAACTATCATTACCCCTAGTAGACCCTCTGAGAACACCCAGAAACATTCTCGGCTTCCGCGGAAGTATACAGTGCAATCTGAAGATTTCACGCGCTCAAACACTATCAAACTGACAAGATTGTTCACTGTCTATAGCCGGGTACCCATTTCCACCTGGGTGAAGTGAGGAAAATTTGTGAAAAGTGCCTTTCCCAAGGACACAACGTCGGGCCCCAGACGGGATTCGAACCCACGACCTTACGGTTGCGAGTCCGAGAGCCTAACCACTGGGTCACCGACGCCACAAGAAGAAGATCATTGTCTCAACAACTACACCAACAGCAACAATACGTTTAACAGCACAGGTACATAATATGTGTATTTATTCCCACCAACAACACCATCACCACCACAACTATCACAGTGCCACCACCAACAACAACAACAATAACGTCCTTACGTAAGGCAGCGAGACTGGCACAGGAGCTCCCCACGGTCGGAAGAACCAACAGGAAGGCTGAGAAGGAGAACAAAAACAACAGTCCGTTAAAGAAAAATCAGGACACTCTGACACTTGGGGTACTTCAGGATAAGAAAACAACATGGACTGAGTTTTCAAAAAGGTTTTTGCTTTACTTTAAGGGTTTATGTGCAAACAAGCTTTTAATTGTACACTTGAACCTGGTCTCATGGCCACCTGTATGATAAGACAATGACTTGTACAATCGCCCACTTCCCATTTCCCTGTTGCGTTGTTTTTTTTTAACGTTATAATGACACTGGTTGAGACGGCCACCTTTCTAATACAGCTACTTTTCTCCTTTGCAATTAATGCAATGGGTGGCCGTCTCAATTAATTTCGACTGTTATTGTAATTGTTAACATTTTAAGCTCCCATCAACACAGTGTCAACATTAGGGAGGCATGATGCTTCTCAACTTACTAGCTAGGGCCAACCTAGACTGCGTGAGATGTGGCATCTAAATTGTGTTGACAGAAACGTAAAATATTACACTAGAAAGATAAAGAAGATCATAATGTACATAATAATGTACCAGCGTATTATTATAAATCCTACCTGCCAAAGGGTGGGCGAGCAACATGGAAACGAAGGCAAGCAGGACAAAAAGAAATCCCTGCAGTAAGAGAAGTTGTATTGAGTATCCACACAACTCTGAGTCTGCGTCTGCTGTATCCACTAACACAAATCTGAGCTGAGCTTCCACAGGTTTCCCGATAGAGGCGTCTTTATAGTCTTGAGATTTACTCCTCCGATGAGATAACGACGCCGTTTTGTGGTGTGACAGCAATACCGTCTTGTCCTCTGGAGATTCGCGTCTCTTTTGTAGCAACAAGACCGTGCCCAGGGCAAACAAGAGGTGGTTGTTGAGGCTGTGGTCAAATTTTGATCTTGTGAAAAAGCTGGATATGTTAGAAGCACCTGGAATGGAGAAAATGAAACAAAACATACATAATAATTCATATTTTGACAAATGAGTCGATAGAGGCAAAGGAATTTCGTTTTACTTACAACAATACAAAGTTAGCAGTTTTCTCCCCAGGAAGCAGTGTTAGCTCTCATCCCATGTCATGCTTATCATATTATGCCGTGTAGTTGTTAGCAATTAAAATATACTATGTGTCAGACTGTTAAATCTACTCTTATTCTACTCTTTATCTCACCCCAGACAAAGAAAATGGACACCAATACGCAGATCTTAAATGAAGTAAACCAATAATACCTTTGTACACGTAACCCCCCCCCACACACACAAAACTGAATTGAAAAGACAACAATTAAGACTAAAGATATTACATCGACCCCCACTTTGGATAAACAAGAAACAGTTGATACTTAGTGAACACTGCTACTCTGATTCATCTGATTTAGTCGGGATCAACCACATTTTCCTTCGTGGAGAATTGAGAGGCAAAAACCACCATTTTGGCCCAATACGACTGGTTCGACTTACGACCTTGACAAACAAAAAAATGTTGATTTTGAGTTCATGGTCGAATTCAGTTCAATTTGTCGTATTGTGCAGAAACGGTAGCTTTTGCACCATCCATGAAGGAAAATCTGGCCGGCTCCAACTTAATCAAATGGATTTATTAGCAGTATGCACCGTGTATAACACACACACACATACACACACACACACACACACACGCACACACACACACACACACACACACACACACAAAACAAAA